TATGTATACATATATATGTATATATGTATACATATATATATATATATATATATATATATATATATATATATATATATATATATATATATATATATATATATATATGTATATATATATATATATATATATATATATGTACATATATATATATATATATATATATATATATATATATATATATATATATATATATATATATATACATATATATATATATACATATATATATATATATATATATATATATGTATCTATACATATCTATATATATGTATGCAATGATGATCCAACCAGTTTTCAAAGAAAACTGGTGTCCTGTCTATGCTGTTACAACGTAGAGAAAACCCATCTACACTGATAAAATAGATGGTCACTTCATTTGAGATGTTGATCCAACAATATGTGACCCGGATTGTGACTGCTGGATGCACGACAATGATATTGACCAAGATATCATTCTTCCCAAAACAAAGCAATTGTCAATTGAGACAATTTTAGTTATTTGTAAAATAGAAAATTGTAGCTTTACTCAGCCACTTACATTCCCATCAAATAAAATATTCATGATTCATTTTTATTTTATTTTGTGTTATGTAGATTAGTTATTCTACATGGTTTTTAATAATTCTTATGTACTAATTTGTTTTTTTTTTGTTGAGAGAGGTCATACTTACTAATTTGAGATTTAAGTTGCCAATTTATTTAATTTAAAACAAAAATTAAAAAAAAAAAGATATTTTATAATTTGTTGCGCATACACTTTTAAAAAAACATATAAATACACATGAAGGAAATATATCACAAAGTTTATATTAGAAATAATTTATATTAAAAACCAAATTTGATTAAAAAAATATCTGTTTATATTTTAATAGTGTGTCAATTAAAAAACCTCCAACCGTTTCTTGGTATAATTAATTATATCCGAGATTTCTTGCCGAAACTGGCGAGATACACGAGTCTTCTATCCTAAATGCTGAAGAAAAAACCTCCACCATGGGGAACAAAGCAAACTGAAGCAGTGAAAGCTTTGAAGAAGATCACATAAATTCCTCCTACCCTGAAAACCTCTAGGAATCCGCAGATCGATGCCAGTGATCATTATTGGGGAGCAGTCCTGATAGAAGAACTTGAAGGAAAAAGATACTGTTATGGTCATGCTAGTGACCAATTTAAAGAAGCTGAAAAACACTACCACACCACCTATAAAGAATCCCTTGCCGTAAAAATGGGAATCCAAAAGTTTGACTTCCACCTAAGAGGCTACCAATTTGAAGTCCAAATGGACATAGAATGCTTGGTAGGCCTATTCTAATTTAGTGGGTTCTATCGGACCTTGTTTGAGTAGGTGATTACATTCTTCCCTGGGTAATGTTTAATCTGATGGACTCATCCCTGGATGAGTGTCCTTGGTCGGATTATCATTTTCATTAAGCTTAAAGGGAAGTTAAATGAATAAGTCTTTATTCTTCCATAGAGGTTTTGGGTGGCGGAATTTTTCATGGCTGTTTGCACATAGTATGAGAAGGTTGGACTTGATTTCTTCATAGCCAGCAAGAATCTTATAAAGTTAATATAGTTTAAATATCCCAGAATAAGGTTTGAATTATCTTTTTAATTTGATTCCTGTGGGGAGAATTTGAAGTTTACTTGCTGCTGAACAAACATCCATTCCTACTATAATATATTTGTTTGGAAGATTACTACCAATGACCTTGGTCCATACTATGTAGTATGGGAAGAATTTAATTCCTATTTTCTCCTTGGTCATTAAATTTATTTTGAAAACGTTTCCATCTGCTGCTACAAAGTATGCCCCATGTGTCACCCATGGTTATGCTGGGAGAATGCTGGGATTCATAATTGTAATTTGGGCCCCAGTGTCCATATAAGCTATAACTTTTTTCGGACGAGAAAAATTTGTTGCGAGGATATGAACTTCAACATAAGGAAGTGTGTAGTAGGAAGAGAACTGCCTATCTCTTTGAAGGAGTAAATAAGGAGATATTTGTTATCTTCTAACTCCGAAAATGATGCTTCATCAGATGAAGAGTCCTGAAGGAAAAAACTGTTTCTTCATTAGCAGAGCTTTGTTCAGAATACAAAATTATAAGTATCCTTCTAGAGGCTAAAGAGAGTTAATCAGTTTTGCGGCTTTATGGGTGTTATTAGTACATTCTTTTGAGAAATGCCCTTTTTTTCCACAAATAAAGCATCTCTGATTTTTCCCCTCTCCTCTGAAAAGCTTTCTTCTAAAGAACTTAATATTCTTTCTTTTCTTTCCCTTGCAGGTCCTGTGAGATTTGGTGTATTTTTTATGTTTCTTTTTTGTTGGACAACTACACCTTTTGTCTTTACACTTAATCTCCAGGTAGGACTTCTTACATGTTTGGGTGAACTTTGACTTTTGTTTTATAACTTCTGAAAATTGATGATGAAAACATCAAAGCTTTTCAAGTGCTTCTAATGTCACCTGGTGAATCTGGCTAAGACTCATGGTTTTAATATCCTTTTGAGTCGTGGCTAACATTTTATGAATTTCTGGCTGAAGTTCTTGTGGTAGAGAGGATACATAGGTATTCTTGAGACTAGGGTCATTGTATCCATTAAGGACATAATACCTTTGTGCCATCCTATGATAGTGTTTGTCGAGGTCCTTTATTTTGAGAGAACAAAACTTCATATCAAAGAATTCTTGTCTGCTTTTCCTATCAAATATCTCCATATCACTAATAAATTCTCGGTGAAGATGCTCAAGAACACTAGCCGTAGTTTGTAGATGATGTAACTCATCTTGTTTGAAATCTCCAAGATTGTGATACCATTCTTTCATCGTGCCTATCATTCTACAACAAAATTCTTCAATGATCTTATAGTTATCTGCACTTTTTTTTCATCATTTGGGTGTCAATCCAAGCTCCAAATTCAAGTAGTCTCTTTCTCTAGCGGCTAGGTGGTATATCATCAAAGGTGAACCAAGGACCGCCATTTGGTTTAGTCCTTTTAGGGAATAGAGTTTCTTCAGATGATTCTTCTTCAAAAAAGGATTCTTCCTTTTTTATATTTGCCATTAAGAGTCTTTGGAAATAGTTGTCTTCGGATTCTGATTTAGTTAAAAAAAAGATCTCAGTGTTTCATCAGAAGATGATTCTTGATCAGAGTTGTCCTCACCATCAGAGAAGGGCTCATCTGCCTTTTGTTTTGATGATTTAGAGTGATTTTTTCGGGGAGATTCATAATTTGTAGTGATTGCCATGGCTTAGAAACCTTTATTAGGAATTTATTCTTCCTTTTAGATTTCGCCAAAAATAAGTGTCTTAGAAAGGATGATCGATTTGCTTTCATTGTGAGCGATCCTCGTGGTGACACAATTGTTGTCAAAGTTTTAAATCGTTGATGGTTTGTTTTAACAAATGTTTATATATATATATATATATATATATATATATATATATATATATATATATATATATATATATATATATATATATATATATATGGAATGCTGCCCTAAACAACTTATGTATTTCATGCATCCTACTATTGAACAATATATTTTGGTTCTTTTAGTCTTCAAACTCAATACACTTGTTTCTTTGTAATTTAACTCGGTCACATAATATTACTTGTACTACCTTATGTCATCCTATATTTCCTTTTGCATTAATCTTTCCCTGCTTATTTCACTGATATTATATTCTTTAATTTTTTACTATTAACTTTATCCTTACAATTAAACATCATTTTCTTTTTTTTACATTCTACTCGTTTTCATTTCTTTTTCAATTTCTTCTTTTACTCTCACAATCAATCAATGCGCGTCCCATACTAGTACCCGTGCGAATGCACGAGTATCCCAATAGTTTTTTTATTTTATTTTTAATGTTGGATTAAATGTCCTCATCACCCTAGTTAGAAAATATTATCCTATTTAATGTCCACATTTACATCATGTATGTTATGATTTTCTATATCATAATAACTATTGGCTTAACTCTAACATCAATAATTTTTTCTCACCACCAGTATCTGGATCACTAGACTGACCTAACCAATCACAGTTGTGAGAAATGAAATCATAATTCTTCTTATTAAATCCAATGTCAATCACCATTAAATCAATTAATGTTAAATAATTTCAATATTAAAGACTTTTGATATATTTTTCAACAAAGTATCACATTTTCATTTTGTCTTAAATTGTGATTTACTCTAGAACAAGGAGGTGCCTTTTTAACATATATTTATATACATCCTCGTTGATAACTCTTATTTGTCTCATACCCATTTCCCAAGTTTATGGATAAGTTGGATACCTTGTATCATAGAGTTCCAAATTCCTTATATCCTAATTCTTTAACAAACCCTACTATCCACTTATTAGCATTACACTTAATTTAATTAACGATATGTAAATAATGAACCATTGTTTTTACTCTACATTATCATGTCATTGTATTTAAAACATCATCCACATCACTATTTTTTATTAAAAAAATGAAATAATATATATTACAGACATGAATATATCATGATGACGCAACGATAGATCGATCCTACGTAAGGTAGAAATCAATCTCCATATGAAATTGGCATTTAATATTTTTTAATCAAATTTAAAATTTAGGATCATAGGTATGATCGAAACTGAGTGTATGCATCCAACAATATACAACAAAATGTCATTGTTTGACTCGAGAGTTTTCCACATCCAGTGATGTATACAATTTGCCAAATGTCAATGTTCAAATGGAAAATATAAAAAGTTTTAGAGATATAACCTGCGCAATTAAAATAAAAAAATAGTAAATTTGTTAATTAGACACTAACATAGTTTTTAGTGTGCACCTACAATACAATTAGTACAAGCATAAATTCTATTCTTTGTCTTTAATCTTACTTTAACTAATCCTAAATGTTTCAACAACTCTAGTTAATCTCTCACTATAAATAAACCACAATCATGCAATAATAATATGTAGTTTTAGTATATGAGATCAATGGAGAGCAATGACACTAAAACATGGTGGAATCAATGCATGAATGTTTTCTCAAAGTCTACACGTGAAGATGATGGTGATGATGAAGTAGCTCTAAAGTGTGTTGCAATAGATAGAATTCTTTCAAGTGCATGTTTTATGAGAAATGGTGAGACCAAAGAAGAAGGAAAAGATGTTGACAGCATCATGAAACTTGAGTTGGCAGAAAAAAGAGCTTTGTTAGAGAGACTTGTGAAGATTGCGGAAGAAGATAATGAAAAGTTCTTGTTGAAACTCAAGGAAAGAATGGATAGGTATAAAATGTCTTAATTTGATTACATTTTCATGGTTAGTTCTTGTACTTTTGTTAAACTTTCGAAGACTAATTCACCTAAACTTTTTTTATACGCGAAAAAAGAAACTTATGTAACTGTTAAATTGTGAAAAAATAAGGTCTCTATTTGTTTTGCCACAGACAAATCGTGGCTAATTTGATTGAAATATATTGTTGTTGGACAGAGTTGGACTTGAACTTCCAACAATTGAAGTTAGATTTGAGGATATAAATGTGGAAGCACAAGTTTATGTTGGAAGTAGAGCATTACCTACATTACTTAACTTCTTTGTGAATGTGCTAGAGGTAATTCAAAAATATTGCAAACAATGGTTCATCATTTTTCAATGAATTACTGTTATTTGTATCTGATTTTTCATTCTATGCTGCTTTTTTTCGGTTAAGGGGTGCTTAAACAATCTTCATATAATTCCAAGTCCAAAAAAACAGTTACATATTCTTCAGAATGTTAGTGGAATCATAAAACCTAGAAGGTGAATTAAAAACTAGTTTTCGTTTTTCGATGTTACGATAGTATCCATATTTACTTGTTTAGGTTCTGAGGTTTTTGCAGGATGACATTGCTTTTAGGGCCACCTGGTTCTGGAAAGACCACTTTGCTGCTGGCATTGGCTGGAAGACTTGGAAAAGATTTGAAGGTAAGGAAACTAGTTTAGATTGCGGTAGAGATTGGAAACTGTGTCGCGCATTTACTCGGGGAATCTATTTTCAAGATAATAACTAATTTGATTGGTGATGAAACTTTAGCAATCTGGGAGAGTAACATATAATGGAAAAGGACTAGAAGAGTTTGTTCCGCAAAGAATATCGGCTTATGTAAGTCAATATGATAATCACATCGGCGAAATGACTGTTAGAGAAACCCTAGCTTTCTCAGCAAGGTGTCAAGGGGTTGGACACAATTACGGTAACGAAAGAGAAAAGAAAAAATTACTTTTGAATTAGTCCAAATCTTCTAAAAGGCTTTTAATCTGAGTTTTGAATTTCATTACTACTACGCAGAAATGTTGATGGAACTACTGAGAAGAGAGAAGGAATCGAAGATCGAACCAGATTCTGATATTGATGCCTATATGAAGGTGAGAATTATCCGAGTTTGAAACTTTGTTTTGAATCTTTATGTTTGAAAAACTGGTGAGCATGTTGCATTGTTAAGCAGGAAGCAGCAATAGAAGGCCACCAGAATAGCGTCGTCATTGATTACGTTCTTAAGGTAATAGTCGAGATTCACCAAATATAGTTAACTTGCGAAACAAGAAAAGGTTTTATTTGTTTCCTTTGTCAAATGTTATAGATTTTAGGACTTGAAGTTTGTGCCGACGTAATGGTGGGAGACCAAATGATAAGAGGTATATCAGGAGGCGAGAAAAAACGACTCACTACAGGTAAATTCTATTTAACAAGAAAAAACACGACGAAGAAACTTAACGCGTTAAATTGAAAACTATAATGAATTTGATTGAATCATAATGTTTGGTGAAAGGTGAGATGCTGGTTGGACCTATAAAGGTGTTGTTCATGGATGAGATATCAAATGGTTTGGACAGTTCAACCACTTTTCGAATAATCAGCTCGATCAGACAATCGATCCATATTCTAAATGGAACTGCGCTTGTTTCTCTTCTACAGCCAGCGCCAGAAACCTATGAACTATTCGACGATATTGTACTTCTCACAGATGGACAAATTGTTTATCAAGGACCAAGAGAAAACGTACTCGAGTTTTTTGAATCAATCGGTTTCAAGTGTCCTGAAAGAAAAGGCGTCGCTGATTTCTTACAAGAAGTATGATTTTCATTCACTATAAGTCCTCCTTTCAAAAACAATGTTTCTGATTTTTTATTTGTTTATGTTTAGTTAACTTTGTTCTAATGTTATGCAATAGGTAACATCAAGAAAAGACCAATGGCAATATTGGGCGCGTAAAGACGAACCTTACAACTTTGTCACTGTCAAGGATTTTGTTCAAGCCTTCGAATCATTTCACATCGGTCAAAAACTTGGACAAGATCTGGCCGATCCATTTGACAAGTCGAAGTTTCACTCAAATGTCTTGATCACAAAGAAATATGGTATTAACAAGAAGGAGCTCCTAAAGGCTTGTGCTAGCAGAGAATTTTTGCTTATGAAGCGAAATTCGTTTGTCTACATATTCAAAGCCACCCAAGTGAGTGAAATTCAAACACTAATACCATTTATATAATCTTTTTTCAAACCATAAAAACCGAAATTGTTAAGCGAGTCTTTTTCATATTTCTCAGCTTACTTATCTAGCTACCTTGACGACCACGTTGTTTCTACGAATCAAGATGAAGCACTCTACCATTGAGGACGCGGAAATTTACATGGGAGCACTATTCTTCACAGTGACAGTAGCAATGTTCAATGGAATATCAGAGCTGAATATGACAATCATGAAGCTTCCTATCTTTTACAAGCAAAGAGATCTTCTTTTCTATCCTTCTTGGGCTTATTCTCTTCCACCATGGATCCTCAAAATACCAATAACTCTCATAGAAGTTGCCATTTGGGAATGCATATCTTACTATGCCATTGGATATGAGCCAAACATTGGAAGGCAAGAAGAAACTAAACCAAATTTCCTTAGCTAATAACCAATTAATCACTCGTTTTTCGAGCCTAATAAGAAATCGTATTGACAGGTTTTTTAAGCAGTACTTGGTAATCCTATGCATTAACCAGATGGCATCTGCGCTGTTTCGGTGTATGGCAGCATTAGGAAGGGATATCGTAGTGGGAAACACATTCGGAACATTTTCACTACTCGCAGTTACTGTTTTGGGAGGTTTTGTTATTTCAAGAGGTAAGAAAATTGTAATGTAACTCCGAACTCAGCTAATGTAATGAAATTTTCGGATGATAACATTGTTTTTTTGTATTAGAGGATGTGCACGATTGGTTTCTTTGGGGATATTGGTCGTCGCCATTGATGTATGGACAGAATGCTATAGCTGTGAATGAGTTTCTTGGACATAGTTGGAGAAAGGTAATGAATCAAATGGTTCAGAAATCACATGATAGGTGATTCAATGAGAATTTCCTTGAATGTTGCAGGTTATTCCTAGTTCGAACGAAACATTAGGAGTATTGATACTAAAATCTCGCGGATTTTTCCCACAAGCTTATTGGTATTGGATTGGAGTTGGAGCTTTGATGGGTTATGTTTTGCTATTTAACTTTTTCTTCGCCTTGGCTTTGCATTATCTCAGTCGTAAGTACATATTTGTCTCTAATTTGTGCTGCGAATTTTACTCAGAACTTCTCTCCGGACGATATAATTCTGTATCATTTATGCTTCCTTTGCAGCATTCAGAAAGGATCAAGCAGGTTTGTCCCAAGAGAAATTGCAAGAGAGAAATGCTTCAACAGCTGATTTTGATGATAAATCCGATACAAAGATGGACGAAGCAGTTGGCGAAAACAAAGCTAGCAGTATAGGAAGGAAAGGAATGGTTCTTCCTTTTGAACCTCTATCCCTCACTTTTGATGATATCAGATATTCTGTTGACATGCCACAGGTACATTATTCGGTTACTAATATTTATCGCTGCTGCGAGATCATAGTGAGAAGCTTTTTGAGTCTATTATATTGACTATATAGGAAATGAAAAACCAAGGAGTTTGCGAGGATCGTCTCGAGCTTTTGAAGGGTATCAGTGGTGCATTTAGGCCTGGAGTACTAACAGCTTTAATGGGCGTAAGTGGTGCGGGAAAGACTACTCTAATGGATGTTTTAGCTGGGAGAAAAACTAGTGGTTACATTGAAGGAAGCATCACAATCTCTGGCTATCCAAAGAACCAAATGACATTCGCACGCATATCAGGATATTGCGAACAATTCGATATCCATTCACCCAATGTTACGGTTTATGAATCTTTGCTATATTCTGCATGGCTTCGTTTATCGCCTGAAGTCGATCATGCAACTAGAAAGGTATAATTTTCTTTTCTTTTCAAATTAGATAAATTGAGGTGTAATAGTTTATCAACTTTGACCCGATTTCACGAAAATGCAGATGTTTATTGAGGAAGTTATGGAGCTAGTAGAACTTAACTCATTAAGAGAAGCACTTGTTGGATATCCTGGCGAGAACGGACTTTCAACCGAACAACGTAAGAGACTTACAATTGCGGTTGAACTTGTCGCAAATCCATCAATAATATTCATGGATGAGCCGACCTCTGGCCTTGATGCTAGAGCAGCTGCTATAGTAATGAGAACAGTAAGGAACACCGTGGACACAGGACGTACCGTGGTTTGCACGATCCATCAGCCGAGTATCGACATTTTCGACGCGTTTGATGAGGTAAGAATCCTCAACCACCATTTTGTTTTAAAAAGTACTACATATTGAAGAATGAAGTGTTTCAATGTCAAAATTTTCAGCTTCTACTTCTGAAATCGGGTGGCGAGCAGATATATGCTGGTCCAATAGGCGTCCAATGTTTCGATCTAATCGAGTACTTCGAGGTGAATCAAATGTAAATGAGATTGTGCATATTAACTATTAGCTTTTGCAGCATAAGCATATTCATTTAGTGTATGAATACTATAGGCTATTCAAGGAGTTCCTAAGATCAAAGATGGTTATAATCCTGCAACATGGATGTTGGAAGTTACATCAGCAGGATCAGAAGCAAATCTTAAACTCAACTTCACTGATGTGTACAATAACTCAGAACTACACAGGTTAGACTCTAGTAAAAACTCGCATTTTTTTCGTTTTCCGTATCTTTACTCTTTATGATTTTGATACTAGTACACCCCATTTTTTCAGGAGAAATAAACAGTTGATTCAGCAGCTTGGTGCTCCTTCTCAAGATTCAGAAGATCTACACTTTGATGCTCAATATTCACAAACTTTTATGGCACAATGTATAGCTTGTCTATGGAAGCAACATTTATCATATTGGCGGAACACATCGTATACGGCTGTTAGACTCTTATTTACTATCATGGCAGGTTTATTATTTGGCCTAGTTTTTTGGGATGTTGGCTTGAAAAGGTATATGGAAATGGAATCATTACATTGATCTCACAATAACTACATCATGAAAAATGAAATTCTAAACAATGTTATATCATTGATAATCACAGGACAAAGGAGCAAGATCTATTCAATGCAATAGGATCAATGTATGCTGCTGTTACCTTCATAGGGGTTGTAAATGGTGCCTCGGTGCAACCAATAGTAGCGATCGAGAGAACAGTTTTCTATCGAGAAAGAGCTGCTGGAATGTATTCGGCTTTGCCATATGCTCTTGCTCAGGTATTATAGGGTATGATTCATAGTTTAAATAATCTGTTCCGCTAAACTCGATCGTCTAGTCCACTAAACCGAACTATCGAATTGCAGGTTATTATAGAACTTCCCCACATTTTGGTTCAGGCTGTTGTATATGGGATCATAGTATATGCCATGATGGGATTTGAGTGGACAACCTCAAAAGTTTTGTGGAATCTCTTCTTCACTTACTTTAGCTTCTTATTCTATACCTACTATGGTATGATGACAATGGCCATAACTCCAAATCCACATGTTGCTGGCATATTGTCCACTTCATTCTATGCAATATGGTGCCTTTTCTCAGGCTTCATCATTCCCTTATCTGTGAGTTGTTTTCACCTTATTTTCATACGCTCTAGTTTATGAAAACGGCCTAACTTTGAAACTCGATAACAATGACAGAGAATACCGATATGGTGGAAATGGTACTATTGGATGTGTCCTGTTGCATGGACCTTATATGGATTGGTGGTTTCTCAATATGGAGACAACATGGATAGTACACTTGATAATGGTAAAAGTGTTGAAGAATTTATAAGGATTTACTTTGGTTTTGAACATGATCATCTAGGAATGGTTGCAATTGTTGTGGCTAGTTTCACAGTGTTGTTTGCACTCACTTTCACCTTTGGTATCAAAGCATTCAACTTCCAAAAAAGATGATATCACTACATTGGTTCTCTTCTAGGGCCTTGATCCATCTTTAGGACAAATCTAAAGCTATACATGAATGAAGAACCCCATGTTGTATTATGCATAATTCTAATCAAGTAGATATTGTGATTTGATGCAGTGAAAGTTTAGATTTGTAATTTGTTTAAGTGTATATTATTACATAAATAACTAAATACTTGATGCGGTAAACACTTGATGCAGTGAAAGTTTAGATTTGTAAGATATTGTTCTTTACCAGAATTTGTACGTAAACACTTGATGCGGTATAAAATTGATGCTCAATATATGCCAAAATTTTCTTAAATATGCTGAAAACCTCATATTTAGATTGGAGAAAATATATCCATGTAAATCTACTACAATCATTAATGAATGTGGTAAAGTATTTATATTTCGAATGAGATAAGACTAGTGATATTCCCCAAATATCACTATGAATAAGATCAAAACATCTATCGGCATAATGCACATTAGATGGAAAGGGAAGAGTTTTAATTGTGAGTACACTATTCTCTTAGATATGTTTTGAATGATATCAAAACTAGGATACTTCGTATTTGTGTATATTAAATTTTATTGTCTATGTCTAGATGTGCATTGTCATATTAGAACACTCAAAATTAGGTTAGATAGGCCATTACAAGTCAACATTATGATTATTCATGAAAAACAAGTTTATGAGTCGATACATAATAAAGAATTGTTAAGAATACAACTTATGCCTTCTACGTATCGATACATATGATGAATGAGTCGATACAAATTGCGAATGAGTCGACTCATCAAAGTTTGGAGTCGACTCAAACTGAAATTTTTTTAGTAATGTGGCTCTGCCCTCTACTACTGAAGTATTTTTTCAAGCAAAACTTCCCACCTTCAATGTATCGACTCATTAAATCCATGCATCGACCCTCGTGCCTTATGTATTGACTCATTCGAATTTGGAGTAAATACATTCAATTTATTTTACAAAACTCGTAATTTTTGGCTAAATTTTTTTTTGTCTGTTACTTTTTCTACACACGCATACATATAAATATGCACTCATGCATCATTTCTCATTATTGAAATCAAGAATACACTTAGAATTTTCTCATCATCTTCAACATTTCTTTGCATACATTCAACAACTACACATAATCATTTTTGTTGAGTGTCATCAAGATTAGATTGATAGGGTCCAATTTAAGATTGTTGTAATCAAATTGGGTTGAGTTTTCCTTAGAGGTTTCATTGATAAAACCTTTAGGGGTTTTCCTCCAAGATCAAGGATTGATTTAGGGATTTTTGCACAAGTCTTTACAACTTGGATTAAGTCAAGTGAAAGCTTTGAAGAACGGGAGTTCTGTCAAAGAAGTAGCATAAATTAGAGGATCAATTGAAAGACTTAGGGATAAGATTTTGCAATTTGGATTCAGCCGAGTGTAAACTTTGAAGAATAGAATTTCTATCAAAGGAGTAGAGGTAACTGGAGGATCAATTGGAAGTGTTTGGTGAATTGATCTAGCTTAAGATCAAGAGAAGAGAAGAAGTTAGAATCAACATCAAACATATGGTTTGAGGGTTTGAATTTCTACTTTTTCTCTTGTATAATACTCTTGCAAAGGTTAATTACATATCTCAATTCTATTTGGAATTGGGGGAAGACGTACGCATAGTGAGGACAATAGGAAAACTGCCTAAACAAATATTGGTGTTGTCTCTCTCCCTCTCTACAATTAGATAGCACACTTAGTGAGCAATTTGATTAGCTAAAAATTCTGGTTGTGTTGAAGTATCTTAAATTGTTTTTTGTTAGACAATTACAATCTAAACAGTTCCAATAGAATTTCATACTATCACCAAAAATGGAATTAAGCTTGATGTTTATTGCACACCAAGTGATCGATAAATTGTTTGCACACTAAGTATTCGATAAATTGTCTTAATTAATATTCGTTTTCTATTTTCATTGCAAATTGTTTATCATTGTGTGATTTAGTTCAAACGTATATTGTAAACATATTGATTTTATTTCTCATCTTTAGTATACTTTTGTAACACTTTATACGCATATCTGAATCTTTCAATAACGGTTTGGATATATGAGTGTCGATTCGTAATAACTTCCACGTGGCATAATAAATATTTTTCAAACCAGAATTTTTCATTGAAGAAAATTTTATTGGCGATCTATTCAACCCTCATTCTAGATCGTTTCCCTCGTCTTACAAGTGGTATCACGAGCCGTTTTATCTTGCGCTTCAAAATCTCTTATTAGATTATGGCTTCCGAACCTAAAAAGGCGTATAATAAAATGCATTTTTTCAATGGAAAAAACTATGGTTATTGGAAGGATTGTATGGAGCACCATCCAAAATGGTCTATTTGAAATTACTATGACCAATACGGATGATGTTGTTGTACCTAAACCAGAAGAACAATGGGATACAAAAGATGAGAAAAAGTGGTCATGTGATTGGAAAGAAAGAAATATTCTAATATCCTCTTTAGGGGTTGACGAATATTATCGTGTTTCTCATTGCACAACCGTTAAAGATATGTGGGACTCATTGCAAGTTGCCTATGAGGGTACAAATGAAGTCAAATAGGCTAGAATCAATATTTTGAATCAAGATTTTTAACTCTTTCACATGAAGCATGGTGAAATCATAGTTGATATGCAAAACAGGTTTACTTATCTTGTAAACCATTGAATGCACTTGGTAAGGCAGTTTTCAATGATATTGCTACTAACAAAATTTTGAGATGTATTAATAGGAAACGACAACCTAAGGTCTCCGCCATCAAGGAAGCAAACAACCTATTGAAATTGGACACTATTACTTTTTTTTGGTAAGCTTGAAGAACATGAGAAAGAGCTCATTTGCTTGGAGAAGCATTTGAAGAAGTTTAAGAAAGAAAAGAACAAAGAAAAGGAAGTGGACAAGAAGTCAATCGCTCTAATGGCTTCTAGTTCTAAGTCATTCACAAAAGAGGAAGATAATAGTAGAACTAGTGATGATGCAGTTTCAGATGATGAAGAAATGAGACTGTTTGTTAAACGGTACAATAAGTACATTAAAAGAAATGGAGTGAAACACTCCAACAAAAATCTCATCAACTATAGAAGACAAGCTAATTATTTTAAGCAAGATGAGAATAAGAAAGAAAAGTCAAAAGTCTCATTTTTAAATTTGGAAAAGTTGATCATTATAAGTTGGATTGTCCATTACTCAAGAAGGATAAAGGAAAGGGTCAATACAAGAAGTAAATCAAACTTAGAAGAGCATACATAACTTGAAAAAGTGATAGTGAATTATCAAGTGAAGGTAGCTCAAGTGAAAGTGATGAAGAGAAATTTTTTTTCCTCATGGGTCTTTCCTCATTGGCATATTGTCCACTTCATTCAATGTAATATGATGCCTTTACATGAATCAACGCTTTCATATCATACCTTCTTCTTAGCATGAAAGGAATCAGGTACAAGAGAACAATTATGGGAGACAAGGTATCTTGTGACAGACTGCCATAGTAGGATGTAGGCGGCGTTATCCTTTTCTTGCAGAACGCGTAGAGTAGTGGGTGTACTATGGTACCTTTTTTGTCTTCTAGCACCCCTTGATTTTATCCACTTGATTCAAATGAATTTTCTTCAATACAAAACAAATATTCCCTCTAATACATCAATCCTTCCACGTTTTCCCTAGAAACCCAACTGTTATTTCCACTTTTCTTCTTTGGCTGAGTTCATATTTTAGCTTTAGTTTGCTCTCCCAGATGCTACCCACTGCAATCTCACCTTAGCTCGACAAAGCTAACCTTAAATCAAACAACAAACACATCAAACCAACCAAATGGAACACCTATGATGCTCCAAGAAAATTACTATAAAACAACTAAAATGAATTAAAAGTAACAACTAAGAAGCAATAAAACTAGAAATAATGAAATGTTAAGGTATGTAATAAATCACATCATTCCCATCATTCCTTCTGATTAGCATGCAAGGAATCAGGTACAAGGGAATAATCACTACTACAAAAATCGCTCTTTATCTCAAACGCGAAATGCATAATACCCTGGTTAAAGAAGCGAGGTAACGAAGGGCGGCGTGAAAACTCGTTAGTTATCACCTAGATGGAATTAAAATCGAGAGGTAAAGTTATATGCACATGAGTTCGAACCCCAACAATAACATTTTTATTATTTTCAAAAGTAGCTTATTTTATGTCTCGATTTATATTGAAAACCGAGGTGTAAGATTATTTCTTTTTTACATAAAAAAATTGTTACATTGTTTACCCAAAATATTACATTGTTTACACAGAATATTACTTTGTTTAAAATAAAAATCAAAAATTTTAAAGATCTAGGCAAAAATCAAATTCCCTGAAGATCTAGATTTTAGATCTTCGAATTATTGAATCTTGGGGAAGATCAAATGTTGGGTGCAGGATTATTTGTTATGAATCTTGCATGCATTTGATTCTGAAGCAAAACAAAATAAGGGTTAGATAAATAAAATCAATATTCAAATATATAATTTTGTGATCAAATAAATATTTAAGAAAACAAACCTTAAACCCAAGTAATATTTTTCTATTACGATCCATCTTAGAGAACATTTCAAAACATCTTTATGTTTCAAGCGTTTCATGTTCCATATAGGTTAGATTTTCAATATTTAACATGCTTTTATAATGGATATCCCTTAGGTTTCACACGGATCACTAATGACAAATTCTTGAGCGTTGATAAGCATTAAATGGACGACAAAGATTTGTTTACGGATGACAAAATTTGTTTAAGGGAAAAAAAAGCTTAAATATCCCCTCGGCTACGAAGAAAACAGAAGGAAATAAGCTTTATTTTTTAAAATTACATTGTTTACACAGAATATTAAAAATACATTGTAAAATCTGGTTTCTAATGAGAATTTTTATTTTTCATGTCTAGGTCTCGTGCAAGATGCTAGAGATCTGTTTCCTAATGAGAATTTTTATTTT